GGTAATACAAAAAAACCTTGTTGTATTGTTTTGATAAATTTATTTGTTGATATTGAAGATCCTATCCAAATTTTGTGAGTTGTTATTGTGTTTGTGTGGAATATTGATCAGCTTGTTTAGATCACAAGTTATACATATATGTATGTATTTTGTTTGTCGCTTTTACATATATACTTGTTTTGCTTGTTTACTTTTACGTGATTGTGTTTGCATAACAAGTTGGAAGATAGGTATGTTGTTTTTGTGTGTATGTATGTTTAGACTGTCTTGTCCTTGGGGAGCTTTGATATCCTTCTGAGCCTTTAAGTAACTAAAGTAACTTGATTTATCGAGTAAACTTAGTTGCTTTTTGGGTTCCTTGCAGTGTCAAAAAAGGTGTTAACCTGCACTGGACTGGCTGTAAGCTGTGTGAAGTTGATATTGACTCACTTTTTTTGACTGTGAATCAGTTTATAGGTCTCTTTTTTTTCTCCTAAAAAATTTTAAGAAAAGAATGTAAAAGAAAATTAATAAAATAATGTATATCTCTTTCCTGATATATCTAAAGGGCTGGTTGTATGTGTGTTGTAAAAGTTTGGTAGTTTGGTTTAAAAGATATATTGTTTTTCCTTGTGTGTTTGACCAGGTTTGCTTTTTCAAAAAATTATCAAAAAAGAAAATTTTTAGGAAAAAGGAGAATCAGTGGTTAATATGGTCTGACTATAAGTTGTGTTAAGTTAATATTGATTTATTTTTTCTGATTGTAAATTAGTTTTAGGAGGTTTTTTTTTCTCCTAAAAATTTTTAAGAAAAAGAAATAAAAAAAGTTAGTAAAATAGTATATACTTTTATTTTTAATATTTTTAGATAATTTGATATGTACATACAAGTGCTTAATAGTTTAGTTTAAAGAATTTATTGTTCTTTCTTATATATTTAGACTGGTTCACTTTTTTTAAGAAAATTATAAAAAAGGAAATTTTTGAAAAGAGTTTTTTTTATTATTTATATTTATAAATTATTTGATATTATTTACATAATAATATATAGTATAATTAATTAATTATAATAATATAAATTATAATTTATATATTATAATATAGTTTTATTATTTATAATTTATAAATATAACTTTAATTCAAAAAATTTATATATAAATTTATTAATTTTTTATAATTTTAATTAATAAATTTTTGTTAAATAGTTAATAAAATTTTAATTAGTAGTATTGATAAATAGTTATTAGATTATTGATAAATATTCAATAAATAGTTAATAAATTATTAATAAACTATTAATAAATTTTTAATGAATTTTAAATAAATTATTAACAAATTTCTAAAAAATTATTAAAAAACTTTTCAATAATTTTTCAATAATTTTTAATGAATTTTTACTAAATAGTTAATAAAAAAAATTTTTTTTAAAGTTCAACTAACAGATTAAAACTTTATTGAGATATTATTAGTATATTTTTTAGATTAAATAATCAATTAATATAATCTTTTAACTACCTATTTCTAGTTAAGTATGTTAATTTTACCACATAATAACACTATTTTTTGTCAATTATCCTACTTTATCTAGACATATAGCATTCCGAAAATCTGCTATCAGACTTCTATTTTTATTAAGGGGCTTGAGTATATTTCATTGATTTAAGCTTCTGTACTTTTCTTTCCTCTAGATTGTATAGGTCTTAGGATTGATTCTTACTGTATTCAAGCCTCAACAGTTTAGTAAAACTTCTGATGATACATGTTTTTGATTATATTTTTGATATTTGATGATCCAATAATATTATATCATCAAGTGGTATATAGTTTTCTATTGTCTCATTTTTAACCACTTTTGTAATCTGGCTTACTGGAGTTTTCTTTGATTAAACAAAACTTAATCTTTCTCAAATACATCTGCCCTCAGTATGGTGCTAATATTTTTCACTAATCTTTGCAATAGCTATACTCTTTGGTAGCTATTAGTTTAATAATCAAGATGATTTCCTATTAATTGTGTTACAGTCCATTATATTTTTAATAGATATAAGTGATCAATGTCTCCCTTATTTCCCATAGGATATAGTTTGGACAAGAAATAGATTTCTTTCCCATATCCATTAAAAAACTTGAGTCAATTAAAAATTTTCTTGACTTGTCTTGGAATTTGCATATATTCCAGATAGCAGAATTTTTACAAAATTTCTTTGGCACTAAAACTAATTAAGGCTGTATAGCCTAATTATACTATGGTCAAACTGTATAGATTCTATTAGTTATATTGTATACAAGTGTACATGTAATAGTGAGTATGTATCTTGTTTAATATAACCTATATTACAAAAATTATTCTAAAGTAGGATTGAACTAGTAATTTACAGATAGTAACTTGGGAACATATACATTATGCAATTGATCTATAGGTCTTATAGTTAATAAATTATAAATATATTAATTTTTATAATATCTATTGTTAAATTATATAGTTACTAATTTATTTATATTATTAATTTGAAAATTATTTATTTTTTGCCAAATATTATACAAGTGACAATATATTGAATATTTTTTAACTGATAAAAACTTGTTAAAATTAAATATTTGATAACTATAAATAATTTGTTTATATATGATTACTATTTATTTTAAAAATTTTCTTTTTTTTAAACAACTTAATCTTATTTTATTAAATCTTTATGTTAAAACAATATTGCTAATACAAAAAATCTTACTAATAAAACATTTTTGAAATTTATATATGATTATTAAAATTTCATACTTCTATAATTTCTTTTATATTATAAGCTAATTACTCTTTAAAAATTTTTCAGTTAAATATATATTATATTTCTTAACTACTTTTAGTATTTCTATATTGTAATATTCAAATTATTTTAATTTACTGGATGGTTTATTATTAAAAAAAGTTTACTTAGATCAATTTAATTTATACTATATATTAAGAAAGAAAATTTTTTTATGTTTTTTTAATAAATATATTCAAGAGAAATATATTATTTTAAAAGAAAAAATTCAATTTCATATTAAATCTTATCTATTTAATAAAACTAGGAAGAAAATATATCTAGCAACTAGAAATAGATGACCAATTCTAAAAACAATTATAATATTTTGTAATTTTTACTATAGTTGAATAAACTTTTTTGAAGAAAATCAATAATGTAATTGAAATGATATTCTATATTTACTTATATATATACTCTAATAACTTATAATAAATTCTAAATTCTTATGGATTCAAGGAAATACTGTATATTCAAACATATGAGATAATCAATAGAAGCTTATTTATAATCTTTTACTAATATACAGTATATTTATCTGTTCAATTATTGCATAAGAAGCTTTGTACTACTTGAAATTCAGAATCAAACTGAATTAAATAAAATGTCCTAGAAAATAAAAATAAGCATTGTTAGAACTTGTAAGATAATAAGAAAGAAGATAATTGTATTCAAAATAAATCTCTCATTATATAATCAACTTTGTAGTATTTATCTACTAAGAGAGAAAACAAAAGCACTTAGTTTTTCTTCCTTTTAAAACTTTCTTATCATTAATAATACTAGCTGAAAGAGGGTATAATTGATTTTGCAGTGATTTGACCTTTCAATATTTTCGGAATGTAGAGGATTGGTAATATTATTTTCGCTTGAATTCTGAAGTAAATGTTTTGCTTTTATGATGACTTTCTCCTGTTATCCATCGAGTCCTCATAAGCATTTTTATAATCACCAAGCATAGGACTTCAAAAAAGATCAAATTTGCCTACCTTAAAATAATAAAAAACCTCTAATGTTTGTCTTAAGACACCAATACTACAAATCTGTGCGGGAAACCTAAAAGCTGGTCCGTCAAATCCAAAATAAAGTCCCTCATCCAATAAATCAATTCCAATTAATTGACCTTCCAAAGCTAAAACATATTATTATTAGAGATGTGAAAATGATAAATTCTAAGAAATATGCATAACGCGTGATATTTAATGATGCTGTGATTTTACCTGCCAACTGTAACCCGAAAATTGCTGTATCTTCTAAAGTTTCATCAAGAATATTGTTTTCAAGGTGGTTGTTGAGTATACATTTATTAGTTCTCAGAGATTTACTGCGGTCTTTTAAAATTTTTATAAATGTAGCTTCCCGAGCACATTCGGAATGGCTCAACTCTTTGGTGCCATCCTCAGTTCTTATACAAAGATCAATCTTTCTTCTTGAATCATTAGTGACTTGTGAAACTGATTCTCCCCTGAAAATTCGTAAAACAATTTGTCAGATCCACAATTGATAACCGTTTCCAAGTTAATAAAAATATTTACCATATCAATCTAACATGATCTCGTTGATCTGAGAATATTATGTCTAAAATAGGACCTGATAAAATCGTTACATATTGGATTTCTATATGGTTTTGGGACCGACCATCTCTTTTGATGAAAATATAGGGATTTTCTAAAAATAAATCAATGCTGAAAAAATAAAGTTTTAATTTAATTTGGTGAATAGCAAAACAAAAAAAGGAACACAAAATATATATACAGTATATAATAACATACATATTAAAATATATTTTAGAAACTTGTCTCATTTGACTATCAATGGGTCGTTCCATTACTTTTTCTAATACAAGTTTTCGTGCCCCCAAATAGTCATATGAATCACATAGCTAAATGTATAATGTAGTGAAAAGCATAAGAATTATTATCACATTCGGTAATAATAATTTCGACAGATATTTACATTTTCTACTTTTGTGATTAATTCTGATACTTCTCCTATGAACCTTTCAACTTTCAAGTTAATTTTTGATAATACTTCATTCTTTAATGGTATCCAATTGTACCCGAACCAGGAGTGCATGCCTCCTTTGAATTCCGACGAAAGATCTATGATGGATGACAGTCCCAACCTGTACATACATTTATCAAGTAATTAATAAATTAAAGTATTATCAATAATAGTATTATTATCATATTTTACCTTATAACACTCATTAGTTTCGAGTCTACTTTTCAGTTTTTCTTGCTTCTTCAATCGCTTCTTTTGTCATATTTATAGGCCGACCCCTTACGCTTTCATTATTTTTTAATTTCCAATTGTAATTTTTGTTATAAGTTTTTGAACCAACAAAAGAATTAAATGACACATCTGCAAGTTCGACTGTATCTTCTTCTTCAGAACTGTCATCTAAAGAATTTTCTTCATCTTCGTCCTCATAGATAGATGATATCTCGGAATTTAATTCGCCCTGTGAAAATTTTAGATTAAACATAATTTTTTAATCAGATCCATAATATAATTTATTTATTGCTTTCAACTATCTTTTCCTCCAGATGATCTAACCCTAACTCGTCAGCTGATGAAGTGAAGTGTTGTTAGCATAAATTTTTTCGCTCAATCCTTCTAAGATTATGCTTGATTGAAGGGACGATCTCTTTTTTGCCATTGTTGCCATCGTCCAAGGCCTAAATTATAAAAACAATAAATTTACTACACATGATGAGATAAAACACAATGGAAAAATAATTTTACGGGAGTTAGTAGTAGTTCATTGGTGCTTTGACAGATTTTTTTGGAAATCTTATCATCCTAAAAATATTGAAATAAAAATAATTAGTTCTATCAATTCCCAGGCTACAGTTAAAGAAAATGTATTCACTCACATGTTTCAAATCATTTTCATCTAATGTATCTACTTCCAAAAATCTCTTTCTTGTTCTCTCATTTCGACTTGCCGTCCACTCGACCTATTTAGAAGTTGTTCTGCTTTAAGTGAATCTATTTCAATACTTTCGCAAACACGCCCATTTCAACTAACCTGAGATAGAGTCTTTAGCCATAACTAATTTTTCGAGTTTTTTGGTGTTAAGTTCCATTTGTGTAGTAACATGTTCCCACCATTCAGAAACGTTACTCGGAATTTTAGTCTCAAAATAAAAAATAGGAAAGAATTAATTTAGTTTAATATTATATAACAATTTAATTTACGATGTCACTATAACTTTACAGAATAGTTGTAAAGTGGTTGTATGCTCAGGACGGCTATCCAATATGGAGCTAACCATGCCTCTGTGACGAGTGGCTACAAGAGATGCCCTGAACCTGAACTTCCATTAAGGCCTGTTCAGTTACAACATTTACTGCATGCTCAAGACGGCTATCCAATATGGAGCTAGCCATGTCTCTATAACGTGTGGCTATAGAGATGTCTTGCGCCTGAACTTCCGTTAAGGCCTGTTCAGTTGCAGTTCACTTCTTTTATCTGACATAAATAAACTTACCAAATTTTTTCGTTGATAATTTACAGATTTTAATGCAGTTTTGGCAAAAGATTTCAAGTGGTCCTGGTCATTGGTTGTCGCCTGTTCCAAAAAGCTCTTACACCGAGATCTAACAATTTCTAGATATTTCTTAAATAGACCATGCCATTTCCCTTTTCGTTCTTGGATTGGTAAATTTGTGTGAACTAGTTTATACTCCTTTTCATTCAGCCATTTAAGGAAGTCAAGCTCTTTCCATTCGTTTGGCTTCCTTTCAATAAAGTATTCGGAAAAATCTGTAAATGTGGATGTGAACACAATCAGAATAACTGTAAATGATGTATGAATGATAAAGCTTTTGACATACCGAAGGCTTCTTTTGAGAATAACTCTTCCGCAGAGTTCGTAATTTTAGTGGAGCGATTGACGCGTAAAAAGTTAATCTCTAATTGGTCAGTCTGTTTTCCATATTTGGGGATGCGTGGTTTTCACGTGATTAAACCAATTAAAAAAAATGAGCATGAAATTCTGCGTATAGCGTTCCCCATATTTGGGTTTTATTATTAAATGCGTAAACTAGATAACATAACCATACCCTGACTTCGAGCTTGCCAAAGACAGAGGATAAATAAACTTTTGAATACAACTAGTTTCTATATAAAAATGGCAAGCGTACAATCCACAATTGACTCATTGAAGGAATTGAATTCCAGGCTTATAGCCGAAATTGATAAACTTAGAAAAGAGAATGCTGAAATTACTAGACTCAGAAAGGAAAATGCCGAAATTCTCGAGCTTGGAAAGGAGAAGAATTCGCTTATAAATAAAAATGTTGAGCTCTTGGCCAGGATCGTGGAGTTAGAACAATCCGCAAAAGAAAATGCTAAAAACGCGAAGTTAAGAGATTCCGAACTCAATGAGCTTAGATCCAGAATTTCAAAATTGGAACAGAAGAAATTGCAAAACGACGAAGTAAAGAGCAACTTTAATGTTAAATTAGATGATGATACTGAGGGAATTGATCAATCTTCAGTTAATACCATCTCTACCAAAATGAAAAATTCTAACGATACTCCGGCATCTAATATATCTGATAATATTTCAAATTCTGATGTTGCTCCCGAACAAATAAAATGCAGAAAGATTAGGCTAGTATGTCATAACCTAGCTTAGTTATTTCCTTATAAAGGAATTCGATTATAGGACTTAAAATGATATGCGAAATTTTACTAAATAAATATAGGACTTAAAATGATATACGAAATTTTACTAAATAAATACAGCATTATCAGTATTAAATTTGACTTTCTAAAACCATCTACCTACTCCAATGACAAAAATTAACCACCATTGTCACGTGGCTTGATGACAAAAATTGACCACTATAATCATGTGGCCTGATAACAGAAATTGATCACTATTATTATGTGGCCTGATAACTGAAATTGACCACTATCGTCATATGGCCTGATAACTGAAATTGGCCACCATTGTCATGTGGCTTAATTACAGAAATGGGCCACATGCTAATATGGCCAGAATTATAAAATAAGTCACCTTTGAATGCGGCCAGAATCATGAACTCATCTATATAACCCAAACTAAGATGTCATAATCTAAACTAAGATATCAAAATATAAGACATCACGATATAATTATATTATGATGTCTTATAATTTGATGTCTCCATACTTTTCTAGTTTCATAGTTAATAAGCTGATTCATATATATAAACTTATTGTGTTTGAGTAATAGAATAGCTTTACTGTATTTATCTATTATTCAATGATCTTTAATTGAACTATTTTTGATACCCCAATTGAAAACATTATTCCACTTTCAGCTATAAAAGGTCATCTTTATATCTTTAATCAGGTTCAATACTTATAATGCAAAGTTGCCCTTCCCAGAAGATAATTTAGTAAGTTACATATGAGCAGGTTGAGAAATTCCCAATACTTAACCTATGATTACTTTAATCTAATAATTGTTGTAATTTCAACTGATCCTAAGTCATTTAATCTATTGCACAATCCTGTTATCTGACTTTCTTTTTGCAACATCCAAACACTTTTTAAATTGTAAATCCTGGAATAGTGTATTATACTATTAAGTATAAATCTGCATAATATGGTCTTATTTTTAAATAGCTTTTTATATGCCATTGTCAGAGTATTACAAATTTATTAAGATAATATACTATACTACATTTTGAATTTGATTCTGGATATTAGGACTCTATTTAAAATATAAAGTATTTGCTTATTAGTTAATCTTTTATTTTTTAGGGACCATGTAATTACATTGATTTCTTTAGGCATCCATTCTTTAAGCTTGATAGTAGATTTCTAATTACCTATTCAAATTTTCAGGAATCTTGTCTGTTTAGCTCTATTCAATTCTCTAACTACTTCTTTGTTGACCCCTACTTGGACCTCTTCTAGATATTGATTGGGATTATTAATAGTAATTAATACTGATTTGTTATTATTAATCAAATCATTTACTCTATAAAAGATCCTTACTTCTTCCAGAATTTTTTTCATATCCTCTTTGAATCTTACTATCCATGTTATATTATTCATAAATACAATAGTTGCATACCTTGACTCTAAATTTCTTCTAGTATTTTTCTTTAATTCTAAGTTCCAAGCCATTGATATTTTATAGTCTTTTATTATATTATTTTGAATCTTCCATAATAAAGGATCATAGAATATCCTTTATAGATATACTTTTTTCCATAAATCCCTGACCACTACTTCCAAAGAAGTGTTTCTTCAAAACTTTATATTTTGAGAGTAATAAAACTTTAAAACTTTCCTTAAAAACATCTGCTTTACTTAGCTGTAGTCATACTCTACCCTTCTTGTTTATTTTTTCTCTTCATAAATTCCCTACCTAAGAAGTTAATAGCAAGAAAGCTTTTTTCAGAAAAAGAAACCAAACAAAAAAATATTCTCTCTCTCTTCTCTATGGAGGTCCCAGAGTCTAAAAAGAAATTTGAATCAACAACTCCATGCCAACTGATAAGCTGACATTAATACTATAGGCAAATATGGCTTTTCTCTCAGTATGTAATAGTTTTCTTAATTTTTCTGAAAAATTTTGCCTATCTTAGCTTGATCCTAAATTTTTTGTTACACCAGATTCTGAATAGATTGATTAACTGAAATCTGGAATTGATTGCTCCATAGTTAACAAAAATGTAAACAAGAATACATGTGACATGGGATGTGAATGCATTTCCTAAACTTTATAAGAACCTTAGATTCATTATAAATCACTGACTAGTTGTACAGATAGATAAACATCACATAGGCTATAATCTTCTCTCTTTTATTGACCTCTAAAGTATCAAAATTATGGATTGGATACCTTCAGAAGCAAAGTTGGGTAGAAGAGCTGTTGTTAGATATTTTTTTATTCCCTTCCCTATTTCATTTTCTTGTAAATATTTTCAACCTTCCCCTTCAGTTTAATTTTTTTTTTAACACTAACTAGTCACAAGACTAGTACAAAAGATCTTTAACACCAGATAGTGCTGGGTCTCTTAGACAAATCTTGGCATATTAAATTCTACTAGTGGATAGCAACAAGCTAATTGGTATGTGCATTAGTATACTTTAGATAATATCAATTCCTGAATATGGGGATGAATAGGCAATGCACAATTTGTGTATCTCATTTGTCCCCTGCTTTGTTTTTAAAAGAAAAGTATTTATACTAGGTAATCATGTCATCAACTTTTTCTTATAGATCTCTGACCACCACTTTCAAAGAAGCATTTCCCCTAAACTCTATATTTTGGAAGTAATAAAACTTCATAACTTTTCTTAAAAACACTTGCTTCGATTAGCAGTAGTTATACTTTACCCTTTTTGTTTACCTTTCCTCTTCAAAACCCTCTACCTAAGAAGTTAATGGCAAGAAAGCTTTTCTAGGAAAAAGAAACCAAATGAAAAAACACCTTCTCTTTCTTTCCTATGGAGGTCCCAAAGTTTAGAAAGAAGTGTGGGCCAATAACTTTATACCAGCCTGGAAAACTGACATCAATACTACAGACAGAAACGGCTTCTCTTCCAGCGTGCAGCAGTTTTTCTTGATATTTTGGGAAATTTTGCCTATTCCAACTTGACCCTGAATTTTCTGTTATACCAGATTTTAGATGGATTGATTGGCTGAAGATTGGGATTGGTTGCTCCATGGTTAGCAGAAAAGTAAACAAGAATATACGTGACATGAAACGTGAATATATTTTCTAAGCTCCATAAGAACCTTAGATCTATCATAAGTCATTGGCTAGATGTGAATGGATAAACATCATATGGACTGTGATTTTCTCTTCCTCATTAACCCTGAAAGTGTTAAGGCTATGGATTAAGTACCTTCAGAGGCAAAGTTGGGTGGATGGGTAATTGTTAGGTATCCCTTCATTCCTTCCCCTATTCCATTTTCTTGTAAATATTTTTAATCTCCCCTCGTTTTTCCCCCTTTTTTTCCTTTACTTCTCTTTTTTCACACTGATTAGTCCTTGACTAGTACAAG